ATCAAGTTAGGGCTTTTCTGTAAAACACTGTAGCCGGTGTACATGTAGTCTCCAGGTTGTACAGTGACTGAGGTTTAACTTTTAATTCTCTTCAAACACCTTAGTTTTAATCCCTTTTTTCAAAGAAAGACTGCTGGCCAGCTTACCTCGGTGCCAAAGCAGAGCATCAGGGTGATGAGCTTGCAGAGTCCCTGCTCGAGGTAATTAATTGTCTGTAAATTAATTGTCTGTAAAAAAAAACCCAAACAAAACCCACAAACAAACGAGCACAAGCTGTGGGCTGTCAGTCCCCATTTCCTGGCTCTCCCTATGACTACAGCTGTAGAAATCAGGGGGATGTCAGCCCTGAGCTGGGGGTGGGGGGGGGGAGGAAGAGGAAGGGGAGGAGGGTCAGCATTTACCGTAACTGCCACAAATGATGACGACCCATCTTCCACCATTAACTATTTTAACTAAAACCTAAAGGAAATGGCTTTGGAATTAACTGCTGCTGGTAAATGAGCACTACCCTCTCTGATAGTAAAGCAGGAGTAAGTTGCGTACCCCTTTGTGCAGAGATGTTTACAGCCATTTTATTCAGCACGCAGTGAGATTTTGGTCTCTCCTCGTGTTTCTGTAAGGAGTGGCATCCACCCAGCTGGAGGGTGACCTACCGATCGCCTCTGCAGTCTGCCAGCGTACAGAGCTGGAAGGAGGAGACAAATGACATCGGCATCTTCACCAGCTCTAACCCCTGTTTTATTCCTGGTCAGTGGGCTGAAGGTGGGGCAGCCCTTCCTGGGTGTTACAAAAACGGTACAGTTAGCCACTCGCTGGAAGGAAAATAAAACCAAGATACAATATAAAGATATAAAACTTTATTATGAACATATTTAACAATGATTATGCACACGAAGACCTCCAAGAAATTCAATACCCAACTTTTGCTTGCAGTAAAATATTAGTTTTCCTTCATATTCCATATTAGCACGAAGTTTTCCAACATAAATGGATAATTTGCTGTCATTAACACAACTTCTAGATACACAGAATATTTAACACATGTCCGCATGCACACTTCCTCAAAGCAGCATTTAATTACAGCTTCTCATTAAACAGAGCATTTATCTTACACATTTTTTATACCATTTTGGTACACAATTTCCCATATTTTCATTTTACATATTTACAAACTTCTAAAAAACCATTTTACAGTAATGCAAAGGTTATTACTGGCATAAGCAAAAGGAAATGGGGGGGCGCAATCAGGATACCAAGTTGTCTTTTGGCTCAGAGAAGGCCCACAGATCAAAGCCTTTCCTAGCCAGAACCATCCTCCCATTTTCCCCAGTATAGTGCCACAGGTCTGGTGCCTTCGCTGTTCCAGACTGGTGTTAAGCCTTACGCTTCCTCCTCTTTGCCAGGCCTAGGAAAGCTTCCAACCAATTCCAACACCAACTGTACTTTTAAATCAAATACTACAGAAAATGGTTGCCGTGAATGGCTTGTGCTCAATGATAACCAATGTCTTAAAAGTCCCTCTTGATCACTGCGTACGTGGAAGCCTTGCAGTTATTTAATAGAAGGCATCTCCTTTACAGCAGGAGCACTGTGTGCTCTGGGGCCTTCTGGTCTACTTTGCTTGTTTTATCCGCTTCCAGCAGCGATGGAAATAATTACTGTAGCAGTAATGAGAGGAAAGCCAGGCTAGTTTCTTAACCAGATATCTTCTCTTTCACCCTTAGGTTACAACACTTGACCCAAGAGGTGAATTTACGCCACCTACTCCCAAGCTGTTTACATATTGTAATATTCTTCAAATACTGTCTCTGCTTTCCAGTTGTGGAAATAAGAGGAGTGAAATTGAGATTTCTTGCTAGCAAAACTATTTCCTCCTCTGCTTCACTGCTTTTGCCTTTTTACTGTATATTGAATTTTTGTGACAGTGCTTCCACCAAGCTTACCATTACACTCTAGGGCTTCTGAAATACAAAGCTATTTCGCATGGCAAACATTGCTTAAAAATAATCTCTAAAAATTAACAAGGAAACTCTTTTGTCACTATTTTCATAGTGACAGACTTACTTTAAGTACATATTTCCCATCCTATTTCCACTTTAAATGTAGTGATAGAGAAAAGTTAATGCAAACAAAACGGCAAGTGAAATGGGCTGAGAACAGCTTAGAAAAAAATCATCATCCCGAAGTTAAACATATTTTCTTTAGTTAATGACATCCCAAAGCATGAACCTGTATTTCAGGGTTAACTGGAACAACCAGCATAGACTGCGGTAAGAAACATTAGAATACATTGCACGTTGGTCAAATCAGACATTTGATCTCTTCAGAACAATTTAGAACAGAATTAAACAATATTAGAGCCAAAAAGATCTGAATATATAAGGATCATGTAAATACAAGTTTTTGAAGACCTAATTCCTGTACCCACGGTTACTCCAGTGGAAGTCAAACGGCTTTGGGGCACGCAAAGGATGCCCAGTTGGCTCCCAAGCCTGCCTCTGCAAATTCAAACAGCTGTAAGCCTCAAGAGAGTCATCTGGGGAAGAGTAAATGAGAATGGACACTCCGCTTTCAGCATACAAAGATCATCTCCCATACTTCTTAAAAAAAAAAAAAAAAAAAAAAAAAGCACTGCTGGCTCCCATGTCAGGTCACTGGGGGGGGGGGGAAAGACCAACCAAACCAACCACCACTAACTTGAAATACTTCTTTAATGTTTTCCTGTATGTTCTTCTAAACTGACACCATTTAATTAAGAAATTAAAGGGAAAAACCTTCCCCTCCTCCCCAGCAGTTCCCTCGCTTTAGCCACAGAATAGTGCTTTGGCTTCTAACAAATAAATGATCCCTGGTACAGAAAGTTTTACATTCAAATACCCTCAAACAAATTTCACAGCTCTACATAATTTTAGAAAGTTTTCTCTCTCACACGCACACAGAAACCTTACCACACTTGAGCAGAGCACGGACTGAATCTGCCCTATTCTGTGAGGGCCAGGGTGCAACCACAGAATGCAGTCCCTTTGGTCCTCTCTAAGCAAATCGCTCTCCTGTGAAGTCTCCCCTTCTTCATCTCCAGCAGCTGCCAGGAGGTTACTGCACTCGGAATGCTCTAGAACAGTTGTTGCAGCAAAGCAGAACACATCTACTTTTTCCCCAATGTGATTCAGCAAGCCTAGTATGACTTCATCGCACTCGT